ATTATTATTATTATTATTATTATTATTATTATTATTATTATTATTATTATTATTATTATTATTATTATTATTATTATTATTATTATTATCATTATTTTTTTATTGTAATTATTTCTTATTTATTAGTATTATCCCCACAAATAGGTCGATATATTTATGTCGGGGAGATAAGAAATCAAATCAATAACAAGGCAATATGGAAATACTAATATTTAAGGTTAAAAATTTGGGAAGTATGCTATTACATAATTAGTACAAACGTTAGTATTTAACAATCACACAAGTGGAGTTCCGATATTTACTAATTTCTTAAAAAAAGTGGGGAGAAGGACAATGAATACCTGCTCATCTAAGCATGAAATTTTAACTCTTTCATACTTCAATCCTAAATATATCCTATAGTTTATGAAATCAGGAATATTCCGCAAATATAATTAATTAACAATGCATTCAAAACTATGTCAACAATTTATTCAATAACTACGATACTAGTACTAGCCATTGTTATGGTGTTATCATAATTATTACCGTATATTCATGAATCACTCTTAATGATGAATTTATGACAAGTTACATTTTAGTGTTGTTAATCAGACGATTATCATAAATTATTTATAATTAGCAATTTTTGCAATTTAATAGATTGAAATAATGAACAACCAATAAGAAGTAATAATTAACTTTGATATTGGGCCAAAATTTGCAATTTTTTCGAATGGCATATTTCAATTGTAATGTCGAGTTTAAAAGTTAAATTAATTGTGAACAATTTTTACAAAGAAATGAAAACGAAAAAAAATATAATTTATTTTATAGTTTTAAATTATGATCGAATGAGTAATTTTTCAAGTAAAATGATTGTAAATGTTAATAAAATGCCGAATTAAATGTTAGTTTTGTTGATTTATGTTAGGTAAATTGTTATAGATTAACCAGCAGTTAAAAAAATTGACAGTAAACTTAAATTAATTGCAGAAATTGTTAATAATTCATTATGCACAATTCCTTAACGGGTAAATGCTAAAAGGAAATGTAATCCAATTTATAAAAAATGGAAATGAATTGATATAAATAATTTATAAAGAATGGAAATGCATTGGTGTATTTCATTTAAGTTTTTATATTAAAGTGTAAAATTAATCATTTAAACATCTGTGAAATTGAATAAACTAATGATTTGATCGTAATTTCAACCATAAAATCTTATAAACTTATTGAAAAAAAATTTAGAAATTAAAAAAGTAACAATGATGAAATTTATGGAAAAAAATTTTTTTTAGAAATTTTTAAGAAAAAATTTAAAAATTTTGAAACAAACTTTAAACAACTTTTAGATAGATCATTTCCTATTCAGATGATTGTAACATTTTCCGTCTTCCGTAACATTACTCTTCCGTAAATCCTGTTGAATCATTCACAATACTGTATATGGTGCATGTAATACAATAATATAAGTTTAATAACTGATTAAATTCGAGTAAAAGTAAAAAACAAACTTTATAGATTTACATGCACCATTAGTTTGATAATTAATTAAATTTATTTCTCACTTTTACTTAATTCTAATCATCAGTTATTAAATTCTTAAAAAATATTTCCCGTATGACTAAATTGATATCATAAATTTTATGATATCCATCAGGTTATTTGTCATACTGTTGGCATATTTGTCACATTGTTAGCTTACTTTTCGTGCTGTTGGCTTGTTTTTTAAGTGTCAGCTTGTTTGTCATGCTGTAAGTGCATATTTGTCATTCATTATGTTAAAATCATTAGATGAACAATATTCGAACTCTTGCTTTAGTTTAAAGATGGAATGAATGAATGTAATCTTTTAAAAAATATTTATTTAAAATTCATCTTACGTGAGAAGTACAATTCCATAACATTGTTCAAGTATAACACACGTACGTGAAACATACGTATACATGTCACGCAGAGCATGCTTGTGATAAATATCATCAATTGTTAGGATGATTCATCCACGAATAAGGATTTCGTGAAATTGTTTGGCTCTTTTTTTTTCACCATATATTGCCAGGAATATGGATTTAATGGTGCTGGCTTCTCTAAAACGACAAACAAATCACGTGATGGTGATCGGATAGCCTAAAAAGTGATAACATCTCATTAACAATTAATCAATTAATTAAGTGACAGCTGGAAGAGATTTAGGCAAAAAAAAAAGAAAAATAGTGATAAAATGAAAAGAAAAGAATTATGAAATCATAACTTTTATAATTTATTACTATAATTTCTTTCTACAAGTCATTTTTTAGCGATTATTTAGAATTTCAATTACTAATTTAAAAAAATTTGCAATTGATAAGCACAATTTTATTTTAGTTTCATTAAAAGGAAAGAAAAAAACTTTTTTCCTAATGTAAAATTTAATTTGCATTTGCTATTTATAGCTATAATTTGAAAAGTTTCTAAAAATTTACTCCGATTAGTTTTATTATTTCAGCAAAAAAAATTGAAAATTTTATTGTTGCAATTAAAAATGTTAAATAAATAATTGAAAACGTTAAATAAATAACAAAATTTAGTACCATTGTAACACATTGAGAATTTTTTTTTATAAAAAATTTTATAGTACACAATTATTTTACCATACTATGCATTCAGAATTTTTCCCGAAAGATATTGTAAATTGTGAAATTAATAGGAAATTTTTCCCACTTAACAAAAATTCTTTTATTGAAATTAAAAAAAAAAGGAAAAAACAAGGCAAGAAGAAGAAATCTCGGTTGCAAGCAACAATCAAAAGCGGGAAATAATAAAGAATAAAGGAAAAAAAAAGAGATATAATTCAATTTTATCACATTACGAAGAATAAAGAAATATTCAATAACAATAAGAAAAAATAATTTTGCAATGATTACTTATTTTACTTATTTACTTATTTAAATCAATAATATATGCAAATTTTAGCTAATACAAAACATATTTTTATAATTAGAAATAAAG